AATTCTTTAGTATATTACTTGTGTGATGTAAGAATGTTAACACTGTTATATTCTTTTTTTAGTATAATATGTGTGTGGGTAGAAGTGAATCATTTACTGCTTGCAAACCAATGATGGTAAGATGATGTCATGGGGTAGGACTGGATAAGTCTGACTTCTTCCTACTCCATTCAAGCATGTACTAGGTATAAGCAAATTGATATTGGATTATGTGTAAAATTATGTGTGTTGTCATATCAACTGTTTTACATGCTTGAAAGAATAAATCAAATCAAATCTAGTATGATGGATTTTGCCCTTAATACAAAGCTTTTTGGTGGAAGTGACTGATGAATTGTCCTCTGCAGTAATGGAGTAGAGGAGCCCATGGAGGAGCCAGCTCCTGAACCAGAGCCGGAACCTGAACCAGAGCCCAAAGTAGAGGAGATAAAGCCTGAAACAGATGAGAAGGTTCTGGAGGAGATGGAAGAGAAAGCACCTTCACCGGTCCCTGTGGAGTCCCCACCAAACACCCAGGAGCCTCCCAAGGCAAGGCGAACATGTCTTTATATGGTTTACTTTTTGCTAGTTTCTTTGAGTTTTATTATTGGGGAAGTTTATAGAAAGGAATTTCCCTATCTTATTTACTTTCTTAGTGGCCTATCTATAATACATATAAAAATACTTCAAATCAACATAAGCTATGGTAAAGATTGATGTTAAAAAAAAAGCTTATTGTCACAGACATCACATTCTGAAAAATGTTTGTTCCCACACATGAAGACTTCATTTTTATTGAATATTTATTAGGGGTGTGACAATACACTTGGCGCACAAGAAGAGATGATATACAATATTGGGTTCACGAGAATGAGATCTTTTTTTTTTTTTTAAACACTAAGAAATCTTCAATGATTAAATATATAACTGGAAAAAGTCTTTTAATCAACTGAAAGTCACGAAATGCAAAACAGTGTAGGTGCATTTTGAAGTGTTTTTACTACTCACCCCCTTGTAATGAATGGCACTTCAGTTCTACTTTCTGAGTATGAATTACCATATGCAGTAAAAGATGACAGTATGCAAGCACTGTAAAAAGTTTTGTCATAAACTCAACTCTTTTATGATTTCATGAGTCTAACTATGCCTGAGCTTCTAACATCTGATTGAAATTGTGCGTGACCTTCTGTGCTATTTTCACCCTGACTGCACTGGATGGCGACATTAACTGGCAAGGGCTCTGCGTTGCTCAGTCACATGGGGGACGATCAGGGACGTGGACATCCACGGGAAGAAGGCTCTTTTGTTTACTTTGTTAGCATGAGCATTCACTACCATTGGCTGTCGAATTTGGGCCACAGTTATCACACGATAATGACACGCCATGCGCTTTTGTTAGTACTGGATGTTCAGTGGTGGTTTTTAAATCAATCACTGCCAACACACCGGTTGTAGAAATGGTGCCAAGGTAGAGTAGTCTACTTTAGCAGTTTGGCTAACCTAAACACACTGAAAACTCACGGGCTGGAAACGTGAAGCCACTCACATCGATTTATCGCAATGTGTCTGTGTCATGCCTACAACACTCCCACTGCAGCCCGCCAACCAGGGCAGACTTGTGTGTTAAAACACAGCTGGGAGTTGTTTTTGCCGTACTAATGTGAACATATCATCACACTCATCATACTGGCTGCTAGTGCTGTTCACGAACAATCAGATTCTGTTGAATGGCGCTTGGGTAGGAATGAAGGGATCCAAGTCTTCCCTGAGAGCCGTTCTTTTACAGTTATAAATGCATTTCACTGCGTGCCATAAATCCGCAAGTGATTTCTCTCTCTTTCTAGAGAGAGAGAGAGAGAGAGAGGGAGAGAGCCCACTGGTTGGACAAGAGTGACTGAAGAGAGAGAGAGAGAGAAAGTGTCACTAGCAAGAGTAAAGCAGTGAACCAGAGAAATAAAATGTTACTTTTGGATTTTTTCACTTAAGTTCTAAAGTACAAATAAACAGGGCTACACCTCCACACAACCATACTGGAAGCATTTTGTGTGAATGCAGTCGAAGCCACAGTTCATCCTTTTACTCTGCTCTGACCTGTTGTCCTGCGAGTGTGTTTAATTGAGCTCCGCCCTCTTGTCACACAGACAGGCAGGAACACACTGTCTGGCTAGACTTCAGCACTTTAACACAGATATATGGGCGTCATAGCCAAACTTGAACATGCAGCATTTGGATGCACTTCAGCAAAAAAAAAAAGATGAGCTCTCAGAAAGGAATGGAGCCATAAGATCTGGCTCCCTTCAAGGAGCTGTAATTCCCAGCACTACTGGCTGCTGCGTGCTGGTTCTGTTATGTACTGATTCCACGAGACAGCTTTTGCCTTGACAAGTAATATTGTCACATTTTAATATCACAAGATCTTGTCACACCCCTAATATTTATGAATAAGATTTCCAGAAAATGTGTTTATATATAAAATGTCTAGACCAGTAGTTTATCAGGCAATACAATAAATTCTGTGAGGGCAGTAACATGATGTAGTCAATGGTACACCCACTAATATTGCATTATAGTGGTCAAGAGGTTATTGTTGCAGCCTTAATGATGCATTACTGCATTCCCCACAGGCTTTCTCCTGGGCCTTGGTGACCAGTAAAAATCTGCCTCCTACCGGCACAGTCACATCCTCTGGGATCCCACCTCATGTTGTTAAAGCTCAAAGCTCACAGGTAGCCAACTACCCTGAACATGAAATTTGTGGAATATCGATTAAAAAATGAAATTTTTATTTTTCTGATAACGCACTGTTTCAACATATTAGAAATTGGTCTGTATGCAGAAACTTATTGCAATGGGGCAGCACGGTGGCACAGTGGTTAGCACCGTTGCCTCACAGGGAGAAGGTTTCGGGTTCGGGCCCCACCTGGAACCCTTTCTGTGTGGAGTTTGCATGTTCTCCCCGTGCTTGCGTGGGTTCTCTCCGGGTACTCCGGCTTCCTCCCACAGTCCAAAGACATGCAGCTTAGGTTGATTGGTGTCTCTAAATTGCCCGGGGCGGGGGGGGTTGCCCCCGCCCCCCCCCCCCCCCCGTGACCCCGTTCAGGGACTAAACGGTAGAAAATGAATGAATGTGAATGAATGTTTTCAACAGTTTATTTTATATAAGATTGCTGTGTGACATGGGAAGAGAAACTGTCAGCTGAGTGCTGGTTCATTTTTGTGCAGTGTTTCTATTAATCTGCATTGCATAGGGGCATAATGATTTTCACATTTCAGATAGCACAGTCCCTAAAGCCCTAAATCAGGGAAATAAAATGTACAACCTTAACTGGCAGGGGTGTTTTCTGAAAGATGGTGTGGCATTCAAAAAGCCTGTTTCTCTTGAAACTAAATTCCTTTGATCATTTGCAGTTCTCAATAGTAAAGACTGGTTTTGGCTATTTAAGCAGTCAAACATTGAAGACTAAAGACACTTTATTTGATAATATATTTGGTCTCAAAAAGATGAATAAATTAAGGGGATTTAATTTATTTGTTTAGAAGAAGAAATGAGTGAGCACGGACTCTTGACAGGCCAACCATATCTGACCTCTGGTGCACTATGTATAGCTGCAATGAAAGAGATGTGGTTCATTTTGTCTTTTGTGTGACAACCCTCACCCCTACAGCCCCGAGCTGAAGCCAAGCCGGAGACACAGACGGCACCTCTTCGAGCCAGAGACCAGCGCACTCGTGACAGACCGTCTTTCACTCCACGGGGTCCCAGACCTGGTAATGCCAAAACCTGTTCCTTAGATAGTGTTCATCACTTGTTGTAGAACACTTCACTTGGTTTGTTCTTACTCTTGGCATGTCTCTGTCACTATTAGATGGTGTTGCGTCTTCAGAGTCACAAACGGGAAAGCCACATTTGAATTTTGTTAGCAAAGGTAAACCTTGTTTTAGTCACAGCTGAATTAATTTTTAAACTAGTTTCATGATTCCTCTGTGAGAATGTTATTTAGTCATGGTCATGAGTTTCCTGTTGCCAAAAATTGTACTTATTGGTTGCTGGTTGTTCTGACCTGGTTGGTTGGTTGCTGGTTGTGCTAATCTGCAGGTGGCAGAGGAGGAGATGGTGAATCTGGTGACATGGACAGCAGGCGGATTATCCGGTACCCCGACAGCCACCAGCTTTTTGTTGGCAACCTCCCACATGACATTGACGAGAACGAGCTCAAAGAGTTTTTCATGAGTATGTTTTATTGAAAAGCAACATTGTCATTACACTTTCATGTAAAAATGTTTCAGACCAGTGTTTGAGGGTAAATGAATGTTAGTTTAATTACTTATCTTTTCTTTTTACAGCATATGGAAATGTGGTGGAGCTGCGGATCAACACCAAGGGTGTTGGTGGGAAGTTGCCCAACTTTGGATTTGTGGTTTTTGATGACTCTGATCCTGTGCAAAGAATCCTGGGGGCCAAGGTAGAAGGGGCATGTATCAACATTTCATTACCCACTTTCATTCATTTGGTGGTGGTCTGGTGACACATTCCTACAATTAGACACGGATTTCACTTCCTGGCTCAGTTTTGGGCATGAAATGCCTGAAGCCATTGTCTTGTCTTAAAGCAAACAGTATGTTTGTAATACATGCGTAGTACTTATTTCCAGCTGTAATGTAATAAATCAAGCTTGCAAACAAAGTCTCTGAGGCAGTAATTACATGGGCCTTGGAACAGATGAACAACCTCAAACCAGTGAATGAGGTGGGCTGTGAAACTGGTGGGGAAAATATTCTGTCCTTGTTTCTTCTGTAGTGACCTTACTTTTCTCCCTGCAGCCCATCATGTTTCCAGGTGAGGTACGTCTGAATGTGGAGGAGAAGAAGACAAGGGCGGTGCGTGAACGAGAGACGCGTGGTGGAGATGAGCGTCGGGACATGAGGCGCAATGACCGGGGCCCTGGAGGTTCACGAGGCATCGTGGGAAGTGGAATGATGCGTGAACGTGATGGGAGGGGACCACCGCCTCGGGGTGGCATGGCTCCCAAACCTGGCATGGGTTCTGGAAGGGGCTCTGGTGGCCAGGGAGAGGGTCGCTTCACAACCCAGCGCCGCTGAGAAGAGCACCATCTGCAAGTGTGGAAGTATTACCGTGTTCTTCATCTTCAACTGTTCTCGTTAACAAAAACAAATCTTCATGTATAAACGTATATATTTGTTTTGATTTTTTTTTTTTAATTTTGTTCTCTCTTTGCTTTGGAATGTGACACAGCCTGTCAACCATTTGTTTGTGAAACAGACAAAAAGTAAGCAAACAAAATTTCCCTTGTTAGTTGTGAGCTGAGCGTCCTTTTGAAGTATCAAGAATTCAGAACTTTAATTTGTAGATTCGTGATAAAAGGCAAACCAACCGGGAGTAAACGCTGCATTGGGAGGGACTGATGAGACTTTCAACTACAGTAATACAGCCCATCATTTGGAAAAGAGATTATATGCCTTGACTTACCTGGGGTGCTGCTTCACGAAATCCCTCTATTGCACGTTTTTATATGGTAGGTTTCCGCTCGTTACTGTTGGAAAAGAGAAAGATGCAAAATTTGTGCAGTTCCAAAGGGAAAGCTTGCCTTTTTTTCCTTTTTGAGAGACCACTGCTTCAAAATTGCATAATGTACTCATCCATACACTAAATGGGTACCTTTGTCATGTTACATTGACAGCCATGCTTGGAACACAGCTGGAAATACCTGTTTTGTCTCAAAGCGATACGACTTACCGGGGCAGGCCTCGCTCACAGCCCATCTGCTGTGACCAATGTACTTTTCACATTTTTGACCCAAAACTATGCTTCAATTACTGCTGGATGGACAAGATGACAAGCAAATCTACATTATATTTTTCCTCCTTTATAAATTAAAAAAAGCTCAAATCCTGGACTTTAACCAAAAGAGTGGGGGGACAAAGGATAAACATGAAATAAAGCTGAACAATAGAAGAGTGGCGGTAATGATGGTGGCTCACTCTGCTTTTCTTTTGATTCAAAGTTTGGTTTCTTCATGATTTTCCCTGCCAGCTACACAGCTAAACAGGGATGGACAACACCTCTTTCTCAATTGATTCCCTTGCTGTCTTAAGTAACAGAATAAATGTACAGCAAAAATCATACTTTACTGTATGTTTTGTTTTATATGTATATTTTCATTTTTCTCAACTTGACAAAAGCATGATGGTGCCTTCTATTTCACCTTTCCAGTCTTACTAAAGTGGTGTGGGGCTTTCTGCCTCCTAATGTACAGAGCTGCTCATTTTGAACTGTTGTTTACTGGAAGCAGTTAAAAAAAATAATAATAATAAATTGCAGTATTCACAAGATTTAAGCCCCCTCCCCCCCGCATATTTAATTTTTCCATACTGTTTTACTACCTAATATAATTTTCTGTGAGTTTTGTACATTTTGTTTTCTATTGTGTCACTTCTGGGTTTTGTAGAAACAATAGGTTCCTCCAGTTCTGTTTGATGTTAAATGGTGCATCTAAAGAAATACTCCTGAAAGAAGGTACATTAAAAGCTAGTGCAGTGAAATGCTTGGACTTTGGTTTTAAGAAGTCATCTGTCGCTCCATGAAACCATGATTTCAGTGACCCAAGGCTGGCATTTTGGAAAGAGTCATCGTCACATTGTGTTTAACACATTGTTTATTTGTATTTTCAGTCTGGCTGTAGTTTGTCTGACTCATTGCAGCACTCTGGTTAATTCCTGGACTCATTTTGTGAGACCGTTCTCTTTCTCAGCAACAAATTTTTTTTTTTGTATTGATCTGCCTTGGTGGGGTGGCCGTATTTCAAGCCTAGAGACAAGCAAATAATTGTGCTCGCTTTTCTAGGTGTTTACATATTTTCATAATGCTGATTATTTTTTTTTCATTTTCATTCAAGGTTAGTCTAATCTCAATGCCATATTAGTCAACTCGTTCTTGTTCACTGGTACATTTTTTTTTTTTTTTCTCATTCGGTAGGAAGGGAAGACCTTTTGGTTTAAGCTGGAAAGGAAAACATGACACATGAGATGTCATTTATGTTTTATCTTGCACTGAAATGGGGAGTGAAATGTGATGTAGCATTTTCTGGACAAATATACTATTGAGGTCTTCCTTGTCTGGTGGTATTGCACTATTTCGAACATTTCTGGGACAATCTTATCAGTTTGAACACAGCACCTCAAAATTTCTCATCTGGCAATGGAAAAAAAAATTCTCTGCTTTTTATTAGCATGAAATACTTTGCTCTCACAGTTGTAACAATATTTGTTGTACAGACATGGCATATTAAATGTGGTTTTCCATTTGAGGTTAAATATTTTCAGATGTGAGAATAGTTTTCAATAGATTTGATACCATCACCCTGTGGACCAGTATTAGAAGAAAAATTACAGCTCTGTGTTTTTAAACATATTTCTCATGGGTGCCTCTATCCCAAATGTGTAATTGTCAGGTAATTGCTTAGTATGAGAACTTGACTGCAATCATACTTTTTAAAGCACTGGTGAAGAAGAGCCATCATGCTTTCAGACCAATCTTGTGCTTTTTACATCATAGTGGTGGTAAATTTACAGTTGGATAGCTCATATTCACTGAGGGTTTTAACGTCACTTTCCCAAACTCAAAAGGATCCTGACAGTTGAACATTTTTTAAAAGCTATACAGTAAACATGTTATCCTGTGGTTGAAAATGCACTAGAGTGGATCCTCTATTGAGAATCATTCCTGTATTTTTTGAATGGAAACAGAAGTACCTTCTTGGCTTTAGCGGGTGTGGTAAACAGCTGGCACCATCTTAAATTTCATTGTGTTTACCCATTGTTG